GGGGGGTGATTTCTCGCTTTCTGTCTCTCTGTCTTTCTCTGTCTGTCTGGCAAGAGCACGTGCCCTATAGCGAAAACCTCTCCAAAAAAAAAAAAAGAAGGGACAATCCATTCTCTTCCATTTTTCCATCCTGTTGAGATTTGGAGCACACACACACACACACACACACACACACACCCTGGCATGTTTTTCAAGCCACCAAGCAGAATTTGAACCTCAGCTGGGTATGCGGAACTGGCTCCCTTAAATACTAAAAACTAAAGCCTGCAGGTGGCATGGAGGTTAAGGTGGCTGGATCCCACATGACCAGCTGCACAATTTGAGTCCTGGATGTGGTGGCCTGAAAAGCACACTTGGAGGACCAACAGATGGCATACTGGTTACATTGCTGGACTCGCATGTAGTTGACCATGGTTGGAATCTTGGACCCAGCAGCTTAAAACTCATGCCGGGCATATGTGTGTGCATACCCAAAATGGAGAAGGGATTGTAGCATGGGCATTTCCCCTGGGGAGTGGTTTCTCACTTTCTGTCTCTCTCTGTCTCTCTCTGTCTCTACAGCAAGCACACACACAAAACTCTCTAAAACAAAACCAAAACACACGCGTGGTATGTGCATGTATGCCCCAAATCTCAAGAGAATGGAAAAGAAGGGATTGCGGTGTGACCATTCCCCCAGGGAGTAATTTTACTTTTCTCTCTCTCTCTCTCTCTCTCTCTGTCTCCAGTGAGTGCATGTGCCATATAGCAAACTAAAAAAACTAAACTAAACTAAACTAAACTAAAACTAAAAATTAAACACCAGAGTGATTTTTTTAAACTGTTTCCCATTCTGGTACAATATAACACAAAATTACCTATTTTTGACTATTTTTAAGTATACAGTTCAGTGGCCTTATTGACATTCAAATTGTTGTGTAACAATTACCACTATTTCCAAGACCTCCTCGTCGCCTCAAACAGAAACTCTGTACTTGTGAAGCAATAACTCCCTCTTTTCCCCTTCCTTCTGCCCCTAGTTACCTATATTCTACTTTCTGTCCCTATGAATTTGCCTATTGTATGTATTTAAGTGGAATCGTACAATCTGTCTGTGCGCGTGTGTTTCTGGCTTATTTTACTTAGCATAATGTTTTCAGGATTCTTCCAGGGGTAGCATATATCAAGACTTCATTTCCTCCTATGGCTGAATACTCTAACATTGAATTTATATGCCACATTGTGTTTCTTCATACAGTTGTTAATGGACACTTATTTGTTTCTACCTTTTCGTGATTGTCAACAGTGATGCTATGAACAGTGACATAGGAGGGCTGTTTGAATCTGTTTGGAAGTCTTTTAGATATATATTTAGAAATGGAATTGTTGGGGCTGGCAAGTGGCGTGGTTGTTTGGAGTGCTAGACTCCCACGTGACCAACTGCGGTTTGAGTCCCAGATCTAGTAGCTTGCTTTCTCATTTTCTTCCCATTCTCTCTCTCTGGTCAAATCAAAACATGATAATAATAAATAAAATAAAAATACATACTAATTCTTTAAAGAAAGAAAGAAAAGAAATGGAAGTGTGTCATACGGTGATTCTTTGTTTAACTTTGTTCAACTTTTAATTTACCAGAGGATGGTATGTGCTCATCAGAGAGAGACAGAAAGAGAGAGAGAGAAAGTGAGAAAGTAACCACTCCCCTGGGATGGTCACCCTGCAACCCCTTTTTCTCCATTTCTCCTTTCCAAATTTTCAGTACACATGCACACAGACTTGGCATGTTTCCCAAGTCACCAGGTTCAGGACTCAAATCATGCAGTCAGCCATGTTGGATCCAGCTGCCTTAATCACCACACCGCCATCTGGTCCATTATTTAACCTTCTGAGGAGCTGCCGGACTGTCTCTATAGCAGCTGCACTCTTTTACATCCCCGCTGGAATGTTCAAAAATTTGAATTTCTCTGCATCCTCTTCAACATATGTTACTTTGTATTTTTAAAATTATAGCCATCCTGGTAAGGATGAAGTGGTAACTCATTGTAGTTTTTACTGTTTGTTCATTTTATTTTTTCGTTTTTCCCTATATAACATGCATTCCCATCAGAGAGAAAGTGAGAAGTCCCCCCCTCCCGGGGGGATGGCCATATTGCAATTGCTTTTTTTCCATTCTCTTCTCAGGATTTTGGGCATGCATGCACATGTGCCTGGTGTATTTTTCAAGCAACTGGGTCCAGGACTTGAATCATGCAGTCAGTCTACCTTAACCACCATGCCACCTGGCTGACTCCTTCTTGTGCTTTTTAGTTTTGGGTTTTGTTTTGCATTTCCCTAAAAACTAAAGATGATGAGCATCTTTTCATGAGCTTATTGATTATCTACGTATCTTCTTTGGAGAAATGTTTATAATTTTCCTTTGCCTCTTTTAAGATTAGATTGTCTTTTTGTTGTTTAGTTCTTTATATTTTCAAGATATAAAACTCTTCAGATATATGACTTGAAAATTGTTTATCCTCTTCTATAGGTTGTCTTTTGCTCTGTTGATAGAGTCTTTTGATGCACAAAAGTTTAATACTGACAAAATCCAGTTTATCTCATTGTTTTTCTTTTTTTGCCTGGGATTTTGCTGTCATGTTTTTAAAACTATTGCCAAATTCAAAATCTAGTATATTTTCTTCTAAGAATGTTGTAGTTTTAATTCTTCAGTTTAGGTGTTTGATCCGTTTTGAGTTAATTTTAATGTAAGTCAAACATCCTGCTTCATTCTTTTGCATTTGAACATTCTGTTTTCCCAGTACAGTTTGTTGAAGAGACTGTTTCCCCCTCTGAATGGACTTGGTCAATATAATTTTTAATACATATAGTGAATAGGATTATAAAGAAAAAAGGTTATATTAAAATACAGTTTTCCAGGACCAGCAGTTAGCGTAATGGCTATGTCACTGGATTGCCATGTGGTCAACCGCAGTTCAAGTCCTGGACCCAGTGGCTTAAAACTCACTCAGGGTATGTGTGCATGCGTGCCCAAGATCCCAAGAGGAGAATGAAGAAGGGATTGCGGCATGGCCATCCCCTCTGGGGGGTGATGTCTCTCTGTATCTCTCTGTCTTTCTGGTGAGCACATATGCCCTATAGCAAAAACCTCTCCAAAACGGAAAAAAAAAAAAAAAATCTAATGCCCAAAATACAGTTTTCCCAAAAATCTCAAATTATTTAAGAATGTGGACCCAATAACTACTGTAATTTCGAAGTAGTGATTAATGTAAATAAAATTTCAAGATATCTATATCAATTATAATTTAATATGAAAATGTCTTTGATTTCTACTGTTGACAAGTGAAGTTCTGTTGATTCTATTGTGGTCTGTTGTCCACATTTATAACTGAAGGAAAAACTAAATTGCAGTTAGAGGTTAGTAAAACTAAAGATTTAAGTTTTCCTACCTAGTTCACATACACCCCAAATTCTATCTACAGACTCTTAGGGACCTATAAACCTCATACAGAATCCTTCGTGGCCAAGCCACAGTGGACAAGCAGTAGGTCAGTGCTATGTAAGGCTAGGACCCCATGGGAGGCCTAGGATCAGTTTCTAGAACAACCTAGAGAGTCTGGGTGTAATGACACGTGCCTGTGGTCCTAGCTAACTGGGAGGCCAGGCAGGAGGATCACAGCATGGTGAGACCCTGTCCAAAATCCCTATCTCTGGGACCAGCTGATGCCATAATGGTTATGTTGCTGGACTCCCACATACTTGACCATGGTTTGAGTCCCAGACCTGGCGACTTAAACTTATGCCAGATGCGTGTGTGTCTGTGCCCAAGATCCCAAGAGGAGAATGGAGGAAAGGGGATTGTGGCGTGGCCATTCCCCCTGGGGAGGTGATATCTCAGTTTCTGTCTCTCCATCTTTCTCTGTTTTTCTGGCAATCACACACACCTTATAGCAAAAATTTCTCTATTAAAAAAATCCTTATCTTTCTGTCTCTCTCACTTTTGCTTTCTTTTCCTCTCATTTAAAAAAAAAAAAAATCCTTGTGACCTCCATTATTACACTAGCCCTAATTACTCAAGTTGGCCTCACTCATAGTCTGGGTTTATGAGCCCTCTCATCCCCCGGGTTCTCATCTACAATTGGGGTGTGTTGTGGCACGTCAGGAAGGCCTCACTGTTCCAGATGCCCCCTTCTCTCAGACCGTCTTCTTCCTCCATGTCCTGCCTTTGGTTAGTTGTGGCTTTGGATATCTCTCCAGAATCCTACGTTATCATTTTTATTTCCTGTGTTCCAGGAGAGGACAGGGGATATATGTGAGAGAGGGCCCATGGGG